GCGGTGGCTGGCTCCCCTCGGGAGCCCCCGGAGCCCCTGGCGTCCCCCCATCCCCTGGGGTTTTGTATCTGGAATGTCCCTTAGGGGAGGACTTACAGGCCCGTCTGGAAATGAGCCCCCGTTTGCGTCCATTGAACCCCAAGACGCCTCTGCTCTGGGAGCTGCCCCCGTCCCCCGCCACCTTGACGGATGCCAGAGAAGCTCAAAGGGGACAGGGAGGCGATGAGGCCACCTCTTGGGCGCCACCCCCAGAATGCGCTGGGTGGATATGGGGGGCTCCCTGGCGGCAGCATGGGGCGTGTGGCGGTCTGAAGCCATCGGCTGCCCGTCTGTCCCCGTCAGCCCACTCCTCGCCCCGCTGGCCCCAAGGACGCCCGCTCAGGGGCCTGGCGGCTGGAGGATGGGGCGCCCCCGGAGGTGGCGGCCCTGGCCTTGTTGGGACGCGGTGGGGGTGGGGGCGCCGGCAGAGGACGTGCTGATGGAAGGGCCGGCTGAGTGCTGCTTGACGGGAGTGGCAAGTGCTTGGGGTGGGGGGGTCCCGAAATAGAGTGAGCGGAGGGGGGCAGGGGGACGGGCGTGCAGCCTCGCCCCCCACCTCTGGGCCTCTGCCTCTCTCCTCCCACGGCTGGTAGGACATTGAGGGCAGGGCCCAGGGATGGAGTTCTGGCGGGGCAAGCGGGGGCTCCTGTGGGATAATTTGCACGAAGGTCGCCGGTCCGTCTGTCTGTCTGCAGGGGGCTGGGGTGGGGTAGGGTCTCCCCAGCAGGGAGGGGCTCAGATGGGCTTCCCACTGCAGGGGAGCCACGGAGGAGCAGCCAGGTTTCAGCAAGGGGCCCAGTGGGGTCCCCCTGTCCCCTGGGCCGCCAGCAGTCCTGCAGGGTCCTTCCATGGGGTGGGCCCCCTGGTGCCCCGGGCCCTGCGGGCAGCAAGGAAGGGGGGCTGCGGGCAGGCCTGGCCCGGCCAAGTTCCTTGGGGTGGGGGATGACTTGGCTTGGGAGGGTGTCAGCCACGGGACGTGGGGCACGCTGGCGTGTGGCAGGGTCTGGACCCGTCCTGGGCTCCCAGCCCCTTCCCAAGGTCTTGCCTGCACAGTGTGGGGACACGGCAGGGCTGGCCCCGGTCTCTGCCCTTGGGCCAAGGTGCCCCCTCGGCGCTGCTGACATCAGGGCCGGGTCATCTCTGGGGGGCCGTCCCGGGTGCTGAGGGGGGCTGAGCAGCATCCCTGGCCCCCACCCACTTGATGCCAGGAGCCCCCCCAGTGTGACACCCGCAGATGTCCCCAGAGGTCCCCCGGTGTCCCCCAGGGGGCAGGGTTGCCTCTAGCTGAGAGTTCGTGGCCTTGAACGTTTAAAGAAGGTGGAGGTCTCGGTGCTGGGGGTCCCGGGGTGGCGCGTGGGCGAGCTTTCTAACTTTCGGTGGTCACGTGCTTCGTTCTGACGTGACTCAGGAAGCTGAGGTTTTCCCGGTGACGCCAGCGCCACAGTTTCCTCTTCAAACGAATTTAGTCCAAATCAATAAAATAAGTGAGAACCATAAAGAGAGCATGAGTCATTGTGGGGGGGGGTCTGCGGCCCCGGCCCCCCTGTAGAGGGACCTCCGAGGGCTCCGGAGGGGTTTCCGGGAGGCCGGCCGCGATGGGGTCCCCAGGAGCTGGGGGAGCGCAGAGGTGAAGGTTCGGCCGCCTGTCACACGCTGGGCTGTGCAGTCTCCAGGGGGTCCCAGCCTGGGGTCCCGGGGAGGCCGCCCGGCACTCGGGGTGAGGGGTGAGTCGGTTCATCTTGGGGTTCTGTCCGTGAGGCCAGGGGCTGCCGGGAAGGCGCAGGTTAGCCTAGCCGACGGCATCGCCGCGCCCACAGCCGCCGGCCGGGTTCTCTGGGCCCCTGGGTGCTTCTGGGAGGGACGAGGGAGCTCCTCTGGGATGTGGGTGGGAAGACGAGGCCAGACGGGCCTGGGGTGAGTGGGCTGGCCGTGTTTCCTCGGCTGGGGAAGCCCACGGGGTCGGCATTTGACAGACTTCGAGCTCAAATCTCAGCTCTGCTGAGTGACCTTGGGCAAGTCCGTCTGCCTCTCTGAGCCCTAGAGAAATGGGGCCTAGAACAATCAGATCTCTCGAGGCGGTTGACCCTGAGTAGGGTGACCAGCTGTCCCAGCTTGCCCGGGGCTCCCAGGATGGGGACTTTCAGTGCTAAAACCAGGACAGTTTGGGCAAACCGGGACGAGGCGGTCACGGCGTTGCTGCTGCCCTCATCTTTTCTTTTTTTAAATTGTGGTGAAATATCAACAACATAAAATTCGCCTTTTTACCCATTTTTGAGTGCACAGCTCAGCAGCATGAAGCAAGTTACACTGCTGTGCAACCAGCCCCTCCATCCGTCTCCAGAACTTTCCATCTCCCCAAACGGAAGCTCTGTCCCCATGAAACACCAACTCCCACCCCTCCCTCAGCCCCTGGCCCCCCATCCACTTTCTGTCTCTGTGGATGTGGCTCCTCTGGGGACCTCCTGTGAGTGGACCACATGGTGTGTGTCCCTCTGTGTCTGGCTCACGTCCCTGAGCATCACGTCCTCCAGGTCCGTCCACGTGGGAGCAGATGTCAGGACCTCCTTCCTTTTCACGGCTGCGTAATATTCCAGGGTGTGGATGGACCGCACTGTGTGTGTCCCTCATCCATCCTCAGATACTGGGGATGTTTGAAAGTTTTGGCTCTGGGTATTGCGCTGCTGTGAACACGGTTGTGCAGCTGTCTCTTTGGGACCCTGATTTCAATTCTTTGGATATTCACCCAGAAGTGGGACTGTGGGGGTCATACAGTGATTCGATGTCCAATTTTTTGAGGAGCTGCCAGATCGTTTCCTGCAGTGGCTGCCCGGTCATTCCCACCAGCCACGCGCGAGGGGCCAATTTCTCCACATCCTCCAACATTTGTTTTCTTCCATTTTTTCACGTTGCTCACCCTGTTGCAACTGTTCTCGAAAGGACTCAGGTGCCCGGGTGGCCGGGCAGGGCTCAGGCTGCCAGGAGCCACCTCTCCCAGGTTCCCGTCCCATCCTGGACTATTTTGGGCCCGGTGACCAGCAGATCACCTTTGCCGCGCTCCGTGCCCGTGGCAAAGGGCGAGGCTTGGCAGCCCCCCAGGGCTTCCTCCGGGTCCTGCCCCAGCCCTCGCTCGGGGTGGGACGCAGCGACCTCAGTCCCAGCTGTCCCCTGAGACCCTCGGCTCCAGACCTGGTCTACACGGCGCCGCTCAGCAAGCATTTTCTGCAAAGGGGCAGAAAGTACATAGTTTCCTCTCTGCAGACGAGCAGATCCCTCTGGAAGCTTCCAAGCTCAGCCGTCGCGGGCCCGCCGCAGATGACACGTTCCAAAACGCGCGTGGCCGCATGCCAATAAGGCTTTATTTCTGGACGCTGAAATTTGAATTCCACGTAATTTGCATGTGTCACGAAATTTAATTCTTCTTGCTATTTTTTTTTTCCCCTGACCATTTAAAAATGTGAAACCGTGCTTAGCTGGCAGCCTGTGCAAAATCTCGCCGTGGACGGGATTCGGCCCACAGGCCACAGTCTGCAGATCGACAGACTGCACACCCAGTAAATGTTTGTTGAATGAAACAATGTTTAGGGCCCTGTGAAGCCACGTGCCCGATTTGTTACCATGACAGTAATGTGCTGTTAATGAGTAGATGGGCATGAATGCGTTTTTTTTATTCAAGTCACAAATGTTGAAAATGTCACTGAATAAAACAAATTGACGTTGGGTATTTTGTTTTTCCTTATCCAATCCTGAAGGACTTTTTAAACAGCTTTGTTGAGATAGAATTAACGTACCGTAACATTTACCCATGGAATGTGTTCACTTCAGAATTTTTTTTGTCTATTTGTAGGATGTGCAATCGATTTTAGAAAATTTTGTCACCCCCATAAAGAAGCCCCATTAGCAGTCACTCCCACCCCTCCCCCAGCCCCTGGCCCCCCATCCACTTTCTGTCTCTGTGGATGTGGCTCCTCTGGGGACCTCCTGTGAGTGGACCACACAGTGTGTGTCCCTCTGTGTCTGGCTCATGTCACTGAGCATCACGTCCTCCAGGTCCCTCCACGTGGGAGCAGGTGTCAGGATCTCCTTCCTTTTCACGGCTGTGTAATATTCCAGGGTGTGGATGGACACACTGTGTGGATCCATCATGTGTCGGCGGACACTTGGGGTTGTTTCCACCTTTTGGTGACTGAGAATCATGCTGCTGTGAACATGTGTGGACATGTTGTTGTCGGATCACCTGTTTTCAATGCTTTGGGTGTATTTCTAGGAGTGGAATTTCTGGGTTATATAATAATTGGTTCTTTTCTCTTTTTCCCCCATAATTTCCCTATACTCCCCAGCTTTGTCCAAACCTGTCTGGACTGCGAGTTTTTCCTGCTGGCCGCAGGGTGTCACCCTCAGGTCAGGGGGCACCCCGTCCTCTCCCTTTCTTCCCCCTTGCCCTGCTCCCGGGGCTCCAGTCTCCACCAGACCTTCCAGCCTCCCTTGAGCAAAAAGAATGAAGTCTGAGGTGACCCGGGGTCAAATCTCAGCTCTGCAGAGCCGCTGGCCATCTCTGTGCCTCAGTTTCCCCATCTGTGAAATGGGTGTGCATGAGCAGCTCTCTCACTGAGGTTTCTGGGAGGGCTCATGGGCACGTGCTTCTGGGCAGGAAATGTCCTCTGTGGGCATCTTGGGTCGCAAAAGCTTTCCCAGAGTCCCAGGAAATAGGTGCCGGCTCCAGTCACGGGGGAGACGCCGGGGGCTTCCGGCGTGGCCGACTTCCCAGCCCCTGGTGTGACCGTCCGTTGAAATCTCGCAGGAAATGTCCCCTTTGGGGAAACTGAGGCCCCCAGGACCCCCAGGAGGCCCCTGGGTCACATGGGCCTGAGTCCAACGCGTGGACACTGAAACTGCCCAGACCTCTCAGTGCCGCCCCCAGAGGCCACCGACGACCCAATGGAACACCACAGGCTGGACCCCGATGGTTAAAAAACAGGACTGGCTTTAATCCTGAAGTGGTCGTGAGGTTGCAAAGGCATCTCGGGGGGACCCCCGGGGGCCCGAGACGCTGAGCCGGGAGTAGATTTCCCCAGAGGGAGACGGTCACGCAGCACCCGTCTGGGCCTCCCTGTGGCCGGCGTGGCGCATGGGCCCCTGGGACCCCGGCCGGCCCCTGCCCTCGGCCTGCCTAGACACTGTTCAGGAGCAAGTTCCGGATGTCTTCCAGGACTTGATGGAAGAGCTGCTCGCGGGACTTGGTGCCGTCCAGGTACACTGCAACCGGAGACGCCACCGTCAGGGCCGGGTCAGGGGGCTGCCGCCAAGAGGGAGGTGGCCAGCCCACAGGCGACGGCCGACGGCTGGGTCAGGAGGAGGCCGACCTGCAGAGTCCGGCTGCTGGAACAGACCGGCCTCCGGGGCCCAAAGCAAGAGGGACTGGTGGCGAGACTCGAGGAGGGACTTCCAGGATTCTGATGGTCCCAATGGGGAGGGGCTGGGTTCCGGGTTCCCCCAGGGCCAGGCCTCATCTCCCACGGGCGCTTACCGACTTCCACGCCGCTGGCTTCCATCTCCCGCTTGTATTTCTGGTACATGGGCCACACGTGGCCATCAAAGAGGCCGGGGGGGTCGGGGACCTCATAGCTTCGAGTACTGGGGAGACAGGTGGGGGAGCATGAGCGACACCCACGTCCCCCAAAGGTGGTGCCGTGAGCGCAGCCTGGAGGACGTGAACTAGGTCAGGGGCAGCACCCCCAAGAAAGGGGACCCCACAGAGGCAGAGGCCCCACACTGGGGCCTGGGTGCCCCCGCTTCCAGCATTGCCACCCCGTGGGCCCAGGGGGTGCCCAGGGCGGGGCGCGGGGGCGCCGGGCTGTGGGCTCCCGGCACAGAGCCTCGGCCGGATGGTCTCTGCTGTCTGCTGGCCTTCGGGGGCCTGGGGTCTGGTGGGCGCCATCCGGCCCCCCGGACCCCCGGGAGTCCCGCCCGGGCCAGCAGCTCACCTCCTCCGCCGCTTGCATTCCTCGTACGGGACGGTCAGGAAGTACCGCCGGCTGTACAAATCCACCAGGGGCCTGGCCGGGGCAAGGGACACGGTCAGCGCCCCGGGCCTGGCATCCGTGGGCTCCAGGGACCTTCCTGGGTGGCGAGGGCTGGGGGCTTCTGGGCCGGTGAGTTTGGGGGTCAGGGAGGGGACCAGCATTGGCGCCAGGAACGTCCCCACAGCAGACCCCAAGGATGGGCGCCCCACTCTCCCTGCACTTAGATGGGCCCAGAGAGGTGCGATGGCTTGCCCGGGGTCACACAGCGAGGCTGGGGGTCCAGCCCAGCCTCCTGCTCTGCTTGAAGAGGCTGAGATTCTAGAATGAGGACTCCATTTCCCCAAGAAGCATGGCTCTTGGCCCCCGATCCTTGAGCTGAAGCCAGCTCTGCCCCACCCCCCAGCCTTGATTCTGGTCTCCTGTCTGTTGACCCAGGGACTCAGCCGGACCGACCCCCTGTGGGGGGAGCCGGCGTTGTCCAGGGCTCGAACCCGCGGCCGCTCACTTGTAGCTGTACAGCAGGAAGCCTTCCAGAAGGAGGATGTGAGTGTTGGCAGCGTCCGGCTGCACGCTGACCCCGTGGGCGCGGGCGAACTTGTGGGGGCTGCTCGCCCAGGCGCGCACGGTGCTCAGCATGGCCTCCATGTCCAGGGACTCCAGCACTGGGGGCGGGAGAGCGGCGTCAGGCGGGGCCGGGGCACCGCGCGGGGCAGGGCGCAGGGTCGCCGTCCGGCCTTACCGTCCCACTGCTTGAAGCCGTCCTCCCCAACTGCGATTTGGTCCTGAGGCTGGAACAGAGGGGCCCAGGCCGCGGGCTCAGTACCCAGCTTCCCGCCCGCCCCGCCCCGGGGTGACAGTCTCGGTGGGCCCTGCCCACCCCGTCCCCCCGCAGCCGATGCCTACGGGCCACAGGCTGGCACTCGGACCCCCTACCCTGACTCATGGGACTTTGCATCCATCACCCTATTACCCCTCACCCCTTGCAGAGCACCAAGGGCCGGCTCAGAGCCCAATCAGAAAATGGGAAAGGGACATGCAGAGGGACCAAGGCCGGGTGGCACGCCCCCTCGGGAGCCACGGTCCCCCCATCCACCCGGTGGGGATGTGCCAGGTATCCAAGAGATGCTCAGTCAAGGAGGTCGCCCATCCCTCGCTCTCCCGGCAAGCATCAGCGCCGGGCCACCCGGGAGGGCTCAGGCAGGCGGGCCCCGAGTCCCCTTCTCCGGGGGCCACCTCCCCTGCCAGCCCTGGGCGAGGATGGCCACCTTGAAAAAATCATCCTGGTGGATCACACAGCAGTTGGGCAGCGATCTGAGCAGGCTGCTGGTCAGCGTGGTCTTGCCGCTGTTGGTCACGCTGCAGACAGAACATCGCATGAGGCCACCCGGGTCCCCCGCTCCGGCCCCATCCGGGTCCGAGGACCTCCCCCCCCCAGAATCAGACTCCAACACAAAAGCCAGAACCGCAAAACAGTGGCGCTAAGGGGACATTTTTACTCATCGAGGGTCACAGCAGGCTTTCTGAGCAGAGAAAAGAGGCCCAGACTCTGAAAATTCGCCAAAAAACGCTAACCCACGTTTAACCTCAGTTCAGCCTTCCTGCCAACCCAGGAGGTAGGGCCATGAGCTGGTTTCTACAGATGGGGAAACTGAGGCCCCAGCGTGAGTTGGCCTCTGTGGGGCTGGAAAAAAATCACAATGTTAGGTCACCAGCAGACGGGGAGAGAAAAAAATGTTTGCAATAGGAAGACCGGGACTTCCCAGCCGAACCTGGAAGTGGTAGCCACTTTGTGAAACGAGGTACGGCATCGTTGGTAGCCGGGAAGAGACAAAAAAAAAAAAAAAGGAACAGACAAAAATAATAATAATTGGCAAACCAGGGTGACCCCCTCGTGGCGGACTTCCAGAGATGTCTCTGGTTTTAGGGCCCAAATTCCCGAGTCCCCAAGGCCCTTCAGTGCCAGGAAAAGCAGGACAGTCGGTCACCCCATGACAAAGAGGACAAGGACGTTTGACCCCTGGAGCTAACGAAGGACAGAGAAGGGTGGCCGTCAGGGCTTTCGGGAAACCAGTGTCCCCGTGACCCCATTGTCCCTGTTCTCGGTGTCAGGGACTTTAGTAAAGCTGGGTATGGAAGGTCAGGGGTGGGGGACGCTGCAGCCCTTAAAAAGGGCCGATGGGGGAAGGGGACCCCATATATTAAGGGGGACAGGTGGGAACATGACTGGCGTTCACTGGGGTGTCGTAAAAGGCACAGCTCACACTCGGAGCCCGTGAAGAGGTGGCAGGACCCTTGATCAAATATAGTGGGAATCCCAACAGGGTGACAGCAGAGCGTCGAACCCTGTGCAGGAAGGGCCTCCGGGTGACGCCTGGGTGGGCCATCCCCTGCCCCCAAGGCCTGCCCTGCAGCAGGCGTCCCCCGGGTCCGCCCCCGCGCCTTAGGGGGCTGCCTGTGCCCTACAAAGTCGTCAGTCTCCACCCAGTTTTGGGTTCACAAGGAGTCTAATCGGGGGCAAAAAGCGATTTCCATTTGCAAATTTAAAATCGGGCCCCCGTGCACAGCCAGCTCTCCCCGCCGCGGGGCAGGGACCCATCTCGGCCCTCCGACCTTGGGCGCCGGGCCCCGCGACCTCAGGCGCCGGGCAGCCCTCGTTCGGCCCGGCCTCCCCCACGTCCTCGCCCACACAGGGGCGCTCACCCTCCGATGCCCACGATGTGCTTCATGTCGGGGGGACTCGCGCTCCGACTCCCTCCGGGGCACCTCGCTGGGCCGACCCGGCGTCATTGAGGAACACGCGCCTTTATAAGCCGGGCAGCCCGGAGGCCGGCCCGGGGGAGGCGGCCTGAGGCGGGCGGGTGGGCGGGGGCTCCGCACCTGTTCTCACCCATGCAAATAGCTTCGAGTCACCTTTTGCCTAAATTAGCCGGACAGGGGGGTGCGGGGAGGTGTCACCCCGGCTGCCTCGGCCCTCCTCCTGCTCTCTCTCCCTGCCCCTCCACCCTCCCCTCCGAGCCAGGCTGCCCACGGGGCAGACAGCCGGCCACACGCCTTCCCTCCCTAAAAATATCCCGCCGTGTGTCCCCTGGCCTGACCCCAACATTAAGATGGATCCTGGAGGCTTCGAGAAGGGAGCTCACCCTCCCCCCACCCCCAGCCCCACCCCCAGCCCCAGAGGCCCCGCTGGGCCGGAACCTCCCTCCCCAAGGGGGATGCGGCCAAGATGGGCTTAAGGTCCGCAGGGTGAATCCCAAGATAGCTTTGCTGCGGCGCCCGGGCCCCGCCAGAAATCTCAGGGTGACACTGGGGGCTGTTCAGAGCGCCCACGGGAGGCCTGGAGCCAGTGGGTCTGGCCTCAGCGTCACAGCGGCCTGGGGGGGCTGGGGGAGGGTGACCCCCCTGATCTGTGCCCTCTGCCCCAGGGGGCACTGGCCCAAGTTCCAACAGCAGCTCAGAGACGGCCGGGCTGGGCCCCACAGCCTCAGTGGGCGAGAGGCCCCTCGACCCCAGATGCAAGCTTTTGGTCCCAGGGTCCCTTGTCACTCTTAAAAAGGACTGAGGACCCCAAATGGCTTTGCTTTATGTGGATTATAGTCCCTGATAATACTGACCACATTATAGATTAATCAGAGGAAAATTTAGAACACTTATTAACCTTTAAAAATACTGAGGCAGCCACTGTGATCAGACATACACTACAATTATATTATAAATGTAATATTTTATGAAAAGTAATGCTTTTTAAAAAATAAAAAATTTAGGGAGTGAGCTTGATAAAAATGAAACTTTTATGCATCAAGGGACATTATTAAGAAAGTGAAAAGATGAACCAGAGAATGGGAGAAAGTCTTTGTAAGTCATATATCTGGTAAGGGTTTGAGATCCAGAATATATAAAGAGCTCTTACAAGTCAATAATAAAAAGACAAAAGATTCTATTTAAAAATGGATTTGAGAATTGCTGGTTAAAAATCTCGTGAACACGATGCCGTCTGTGTGGAAGCTGCAATAGAATGATGCACACCTGAAATTTATAGTGTTATGAGCCAACATGACCTCAATAAAATAATTTTTAAAACAATCCTGGGTTTGAATCTTAGTTCTGCCGGGACCCAGTGAGTGGGGGACCTCACCTTTATGCTCCCACCCCCAGGTGGTTTTATGGAGGCAGGTGGGGAAAGAGAGGGAGAGAGGGAGGATGCCCCACCCCACCCATCACTTACCTGCCCCTCAGCGGCCGAGCTGCTGCCACAGGGCCTTTGCACATGACCATGTCTCTTCCCAGAACCCCATTCTCTTACCAGGCTTCCTCCCTCAGGTTAACTTTGATGAAACCATCATGTCTCATCTTTGATTACCCCTCCTCTCGACTCTGATATCCAAACACCGTCACCCTCCCTCCTCCCCAGGCCCCAGATTCCATCCTCTCCCATCCTTGGAAACTGTGAGCCCGTCCCCTTTGGTGGCAAGAGGGTCTTTGTGGCTGGAATTCCCTTAAGGATCTTGGGTGGGGAGATGACCCTGGATTATCCGGCTGGGCCCCAAATGTGAACACAGGACCCTATAAGCAAAAGGCAGAAGGAGAGTGACGCACACGGAAGAGGAGGAGGCCTCGGGACCACGTGGCAGAGACGGGAGGGATGCGGCCACGAGCCGGGGGATGCTGGCGGCCCCAGAACCTGGAGGAGGGGGGACCGGATTGTCCCCAGAGCCTCCAGCAGGAGGGGGACCTACTGACCTTCGTCTCAGCCCAGGGACGCTGGCCGTGCCCCTCCGGCCTCCAGCACCAAGAGAATAAACGCCAGTTGTTTTAAGCCAGAGTCTGAGTGACCCGTCACGGTGGCCCCAGGAACCTCACACGGCGCACCCCCCTTCCATCCAGCCCTCACCCACCCTGGGTCCCGTCACCACGGCCACGGCCTTTGAATCCCGCGAGATCAACGTCCCTCTGCCCCTCTCGCGTCTTCTGGTGATTGTCCCCCCCTGGCCCGCCGGCTCCGAGGCTGGAAACCCCCGCGGGTCCGGGCTGTGTTGGGAATGAGTTTCCCCCCTCTGTTCCCGCTGCCCCCATATGCCCTCCCCCTGGCCCTGCCCTGTGTGGCCCCCCCATGACCTCTGTGACCTCCCTGTCCCCATTCCACCAGCAGGACCCGCAGTGGCCAAGGTCTCTGCTCAGGATCAGCCGGCGGTGGGCGTTGACTCTGGTTAACGGGCCCCGAGTGGCCCCCTGAAGACTGACCTGGCACTGAGGTCGGGAGAGGTCACCGGGGCAGACGACCCTCGCCTCCATCGGCCACCAGGGGCAGAGTGTACATGAGGCCCCGCCCCCTCCTCCTCCAACCTCCAGCCCCGCCCTGTCCCCTGTGGGTCTCAGTTTCCCCTTTTGCCAATGGGGCTGGACCAGTGACGCCTGAGCTCTGACAGGCGCCCGTGGGCGGGCGGTGGCGGTGGCAGAGGGGCGATGCCCAGCTCCAGGCTCCACCTCTGGCCCAGTTTCGGTGCCAAGAATTTCCAGGGAGCCTCCTGTGGGTCACGTGGCCTGGGCCACGGGTGACAGTGACGCGCCCAGATAGAGGCCCTGGCAGGGCACCACCGGGAAGCCTCCTGGGGCTGGATCACGGGGCACAGAGGCTCCTGGTGCAGACCCGCCTGACCCCAAACAGCCACGGGTCCAACGTCATTAAAAAATGACCATCCCGTCGCAGAGCGTGTGATCCCAGTGACGTGAAACGTCCAGAACGGGCAGATCCACAGACAGAGAGCGGGTTCGTGGCGGCCAGGGGCTGGGGGAGGGGGCTGGAGAGTCACTGCTAGTGGGGTCGAGGTTTCTTTTGGGGTGATGGAATGTTCTGGAACTAGATAGAGCTGATGGTTGCGTAACATTGTGAATGTACAAAATGCCATTAATGGTAAATTTAAAAAAAAATAGAGAGCGACCAGGCCCTCATCGAGCTCTGGGGTCCCCTGGAACGCCCGCCCGGCCCGGTCCGGCCCCCAGCCCCCTCCCTCTCGCCCTTTGTTTTCCCGCCCCGGGCTCACCAGCTCTGTCTGGCCTCCAGGCCTTTGTCCTCGAGGGGCCTTCTGCCCAGGACGCCTCTGCCCCCGCCCGCTGGCCTGGCTAACTGCTGCCTCCCCCCTGGTCTCCGATCAGAGACACTTCCTGGGCCCGGCTGCTGGTCCCCGGTGAGGACCCAGCTCCCTGGGCCAAGCCTCCCCGCTGGGCTGGGAGCCACGTGAGGGGGGCTTGGTCCCCACCCGACTCCCAAACTGGGGGTGACACCCCATGATCCCAGCACAGCTCCCCCCTCCTCAGCCACCCCCCCCGGCCCCGTGCAGTCTCGCCCCCTCCTCTCGAGACACCTCCTCCAGGAAGGACACCTCACCTGACATCACAGGGCCAGGATGGCAGAGCCACCAAGCTGATGGTGACCTGGCGTGAACGTCACGCCCACGCTGGCATCCGTGCCACAAGTAGGTCCCAAAGTCCCGGGCGTGGACCGTGGGAGAGGGCCCCTCCTGTGCTGGCCGAGGGCCGCCGGTCCCCAGCCGTGCCATGGGGCGGCCAGTAGGGACGGGGAACTGGGCCAGGCCGCGGACCCATCCCTCACTGTCCATGGGACCCTGGGCAAGCCACGTCACCTCTCTGTGCCTCAGTCTCCCCCTTGGTAACACGGGGGCTGTGCCAGGTCAGACAGACTATTATTCAGTAGTGTCGTCATAATTGTGATTTGTAATAAGACCTATATTTGGTTTCAGTCCCAGCTCTCAGCAGCCAGCTCCTAAAACCCTTGACCCGCCTGCGTGAGCGGAAGGTGCATCTTTCCTCATGACATCTGGTCCTGGAACGGCCCCAGAGCATCGAGGGGAAAGAAGCATCTTTCGCTATTGTGAGATGCCCGTCAGCCACACCCGGGTTTATGCTAATGAGGCGGTTTTGGGAAGACCCTAGAAGCACAGGACGGGGCTGGAGGCCAGGGGACCCAACCATGGGGTCAAGGGGCCCGAGCTCTCAGCCTCACCCTGACCTCCGGGGAGGGGAGAGGGGCCGGGGGTTGAGTCCGTCACCAACGGCCAACGATTTAACCAGTGGTGACTACGCCCCAGGGGACCTTAAATGAAGGGGTCCGGGGAGCTCCCGGGGGGGTGAAGACGGGAGGTGCCGGGACAGTGGCCCCCGGGGAGGGCGTGGATGCCCTGAGTCCCTTCCCCATGCCTGGCTCCGTGCGTCTCTTCCATCTGGCTGATCCTGGCCTGTGTTCCTTATGAATACACAGGTGATCTCGCAAGTGCTGGTCCCCTCAGTTCCGTGAGCCACCGTGGAACCTGAAGTGGGGGGGGACCCCTGATTTGTAGGCACGTCAGACACAAGTGCGGGTGACCTGGGACTCCCTACGTGCACGTGGCATCTGAGCCCTGAACCTGTGGGGTCCCCCTTAACTTATTATTATTAATCGCCAAATAGGTTTGACCCCAGAGAGGATCAGGGCAGGAAATGAATGTCAATCACAGAGCGGCAGGGCCAGAGGGTCATGGGAATAATGGAGCCGGCCACCCGTTCTGCGGACGGGAGACGGAAGCAGGAGAAGACAGCCTGAGGTCATCCAAGGTCGTTCAAGGTCACCCAAGGTCGCACGGCATGGGGCAGCCCCCCCCCGCCCCCCGTAAAAGATTTCCCTGGAAACAGACAAGAGCACAGACCTCCATTCTCAGTGACATTTATTTCACATAAAAATCCCCCAAAGCTTGTGGAAATGGCATCTGAACCTCACGACGGTCCGCATAACCAACTGTTTTCGTTTTTTAAAAACCGCAAAACTCGCTGTCAGGGGTGGGGGAGGGGGCGTGTGAACTACGAGTTTGGTGGGGGGGATTTATGACGACACGTCCCACGGGGCCCACGAGGAAAGCCCAACGCCCGCCCGAGTCGCCGAGGGCCGGGTGTCTGCTGCATCTTGGCTGGAACCGCCCGCGGATACGAATCTACCGCAAAGACGACCCCGCGGGGGGAGGGACGCGGGGGGCAGCCTGCCTGGACATGGTGGCCCCATTTGGTCTCACGCCTGAGGACAGGCGGCAGGCCTGGGGACCCAGCTCCCTGGGGGTCTCTCTCTATCCTGGAGGGGCTGCTGTGGCCAAGCGGGGTCCTCGGTTCCACTTGCCCGTCGTCTGTGGCTGCTGGTGGTCCGGAGGGGCGCTGGGTGGGCCCGGTGGTCCCTGTTGGAATGATGAGTCTGCAGGCCCCTCGAGGGGGCCCCGAAATCTCCCCGTTTGTGTCATCTGTCACCTCTGCAGGCACTCGGTTGTGGCGGGATTGGGGAGAACGCATGAGTTCCATCCCGGCTCCTTCTGTGAGCTTGGAGTGAGCCCCCAGACTTCCAGGAGTCACCGCCTTCCTGCGGGTGGCCGTCTGGGGCCCTCCGGACCGTGCGTGGGTCTCCGAGGGGCTGCACTGACCACCTGAACCCAGAGTTTAGGGCCCCGGAGGGAGGGTCCCGATGGAGGGCAGCCTGGAGGGGCCCGTCTGCCAGCCTCTGCTGCGTGAGGCTCCGGGGGCCACACTTGGGCCTAGAACACCGCCCCTGCCCCTCATCTGACATCTGGGAAACAGCAGAAACACAAATTTAAAAACCCCGTCAGGCCCCCAAACGCCCTGGCCCCACGGGGGCTGTGCTGGGACCTGGAAGATGCCTGGCCCAAGCTCGCTGGGAGGCCTGGCATTTTTCATGGCGTTGGGGCAATTCCTCGATGGGCAGGACCCCCTCCCACATGGCAAAGTTGGGCGTCCCCTTCCGGCGGCACTCACGCCACCAGCTCCCTCCTGCCATGGCATGGCCCCAAACACACCCTCTTCGATGTCCAGGACCAGGCAGCACTTGACATTCCCACCGAGGCCCAGAAACGCAGGCCAACTGAGCCTCGACGACACCCGCTAAAAAGCCAGCTGGAGGGACCCCACAGCGTGCCAGCTCGATTCCGCTCAGAGTCACAGAAATAAAGACTCAGGATTGGAGGGGACCGCAGACGACCGCTTTCTGCAAGCGCCATTCAGCCGTTTCTTTAAATGCCCCCAGAGACGGGGAGCTCACTACCTCGAGAGGCCACTTGACTGGTGTTTGGACCGCATTAGAAAAAGTTTATCTTCCGTCCAAGAGAGATTTGCCTCCTTTGAACGCAGGTGGCCATTGTGTCCAGGCCACCGGGATTTCTTTTCCTGAGTGACCTTCGCAACGCTGCGAAATCCCATACCCTGTCTCTTCCTTTTTCTCGGTCTGTATTTCCGGCACAAGCCTACATTAGAGATGGTTTCTCAGCCTCCGCTCTTGGTGGGAGCCCCAGGGGGCTCATCCCAACCCCATTTTCAGGGGGGATCGGGGAAGTGGGGACGGCTCATTCCCTCGGGAGGAGGTACGTTACAGATCGGGGTCGCCCTGTGGTGTGGCATCTGAGTTAAAGGGGCTTGAGAATGTTCTGGATGGAGACGGGAGTGTATTTCTGAGACTGGAGGACAATGAAAAGCCACGAGGTCGAAGGCCGGGAGGTGCCCGGGGCCCCGCCCTGCGGGGGGCTGAGCTCCCCAGTCAGATGCCCAGGGCTGCGGGGGCCGTTCTGGGAGGAAGGCACGAGAACAAATCCAGACCCGGCTGGGGAGTGGGCGTCTGTGGCTCCAACCTGGGACAGGTGACGAGCAAGAGAAGGGTCTCGAACCAGGACTTTGTACAGTGGGAGGGGCCCGAGGCCACCGAGGACACACTGGCCACGCCCTGTGCTGCTCACTCTTCTCGGCCGGGACTTCATGAGTGTGGAAGGACGGAGGGCTGAGAACCGGGTCCTTTTCCAGAACGTGCTAGTACCGCATCGTTAAAAAAAAATGTTTCCAAGCAGCTAAAAAGGATGCTGGGCTTCAGAGATGGATGGAGACTAGAACCCTCTGAAGATGGGACTCAGGAGGAGGCGGGGGCGAGATCCGGGGCCAGAGGGCGTCTGACAGAGGTTTCTTGGCGTCTGGAATCTTCTTCGTGTCCTTCTCTGTCCTCACGTCACCTCAGGACATGCTGAAGAGAGTAAAACACAGCCAAGTTACTATTGTTTTTAAAGAAAGTGGAAAATGCTGTTGCAGGTGCATGGAATCCAAAAGAATGACCTAATCTGGCTTTGGTGCACCCTTGGTAGCAAGAAAGGCACCTGCCCTTTGGGGTCGGTCACCTGCCACTGACCTTCCAGATGGGGTTCTGAAGAGGACCTCTCTTTTGGTCCAGCCTAAGAACAGGCCCTGGGCCGGTGCCCTCAGTCAGACAAGAGGGAGACTTCAACTCACCCATCCACTCACCCATCCACCCATCCACCCATCCGTCCGTCTGTTCATCCATCCGTCCAACCATTCACCCACCATCCACCCACCCATCTGTTCATCCACCCAACAACCCAGCCACCCATCCATCTGTCTGTTCACCCATCCATCCATCCGTCTGTTCATTCATCCATCCATCCATCCAACAACCCACCCACCCATCCATCCATCCACCCATTCATCCATCCACCATCCATCCAACATCCATCCATCCACCACCCACCCATCCATCCACCATCCATCATCCATCCATCCATCCATCCACCCATCCATCCACCATCCATCATCCATCCATCCATCCGTCCACCATCCATCCATCCGTCCACCATCCATCCACCATCCATCCATCCACCATCCATCCACCATCCATCCACCATCCATCCATCCACCATCCATCCATCCATCCACCATCCATCCACCATCCACCCATCCACTTATCCATCCACCCACCAATCCACCAATCCGTTCACCCACCCACCCTATCCATCCATCTATACACCCACACATCCACTCATCTGTGTCCATCCCTCCATTGCTCCCACAATCCCTTTTTTGTGTCTCTAATCATTAAACACGCTTCTGTTATCATCTCTCCCCGGGGATTCCTGGGAGGGAGTCTGATTCTGCTGTGTGTTGTATCTGCTGACTTTCCCTTACGGTGGATGACTTCCTCACGTGTTCTGTGTCTGTGGGTGTGAACACCTCTCCAGAAGGCGTGGATTGAGATGGTCTTGTCAGAAACGCACCGAGAACTTGCTGCTACTCAGTGTCCCTGAGGCATCTCTGGTTCAAGATCCTTTTTTTTTTTTTGGAGGAAGATTAGCCCTAAGCTAACATCTGCTGCCAATCCTCTTTTTTTTTTTTTTTTTTTTTGCTGAGGAAGACTGGCCCTGAGCGCACATCCGTGCCCGTCTTCCTCTACTTTATATGTGGGACGCCTACCACAGCATGGCACGCCAAGTGATGCCATGTCCGCACCCACGATCTGAACCGGCGAACCCCGGGCTGCCAAAGTGGAATGTGGGCACTTAACCTCTGTGCCACCAGGCTGGCCCCTCCAGATCCTTTTTGTTGTTTATTTCTCAGCTTGGGGCTCCCTGGGTCACATGGGTGGCATTACAGTGGGCGTCCAGGCCATGTTACAGATGGGAAGAGAATGTGTGATCAAGGGTCAACCTGCAAGTTCCAAAGAAAGGTCTGGCCCTTACCTGGCTCCTGGGAGGTCACCTCTGAGTCCTGGGAACGTCCTGTCTTGACCTGGGGACCTTGGGTCATGCCCCATGGTCCATGCTAACAATGCAATTTAGAGGGACTGGAGGCTAAGGCCAGCCACGCATATGTGACTGACCCCTAGTAAACACCATGGACACCACAGCTCGGGTGAGCATCCCTGGTTGGCCACACCTCCTGCACTTTGCCCACATTGCTGTTGGGAGAATTAAGGGCCATCCTGTTGCTGATTTTCCTCTGGGTCCATCCTTCTGCTGTAATAAACCATAACCGTGAGCATAACAGCTCTGCTGCATTCTGTGAGTCCTTCTGGCAAACCACTGAACCCGAGGAGGGTCTCCTGGATCCTGACACACGGCGAGGCCTTTCCTGGCATCTGGAACCAGGCAGAGAGAACGCGACAGGCCCTGGGTGGATGGTGCACCCTTTGCTGAGCTATGTCCCAGGCTTGCGGGGGCCTGGCTCCAGGTGGGCGACCATGCTGCTCAGCTCTGGGGCCTTGTGTCCACCCAACAACTCACCCACCCATCCAACCATCCACCCATCCATCCATCCATCCATCCACCCATCCATCCACCCATCCATCCACCCATCCATCCACCATCCATCCATCCATCCACCCATCCATCCACCCATCCATCCACCCATCCATCCATCCATCCATCCACCCATCCATCCACCCATCTACCATCCACCATCCATCCACCCATCCATCCACCCATCCATCCACCATCCATCCATCCACCCATCCATCCACCCTCCCATCCACCCATCCACCCTCCCATCCACCCATCCATCCACCCATCCATCCACCATCCATCCATCCACCATCCATCCACCCTCCCATCCACCCATCCACCCTCCCATCCACCCATCCATCCACTCATCCACCCATCCATCCACCATCCACACACCCATCCATCCATCCAACAACCCAACCACCCATCCACCCAGCCATCTGTCTGTTCATCCATCCATCCAACCATTCACAGCGGAGGCCCTGTTGTCGTGGGAACCGCTGTCTCCCTGACTCCCTGGGGCCGTATCTCCATCACTGATGATAAATCATGGGGCACCTGTCCCTGGGTGGGCTCCACTGAGAACATTTCCAAAATAAGGAGCAAGCTCATCCTGCTTCCCACCCACCTCGTTTCCTGGTCCTCCGCGCCCAGAGCAGACCTGTGGGAGAGCAAAGGAGACTCAGCATTATTGGCCTATTTTTGGCACCTTGGCCGTGAGCCCCAGGAGGGCTGACGTGGCTTCGTCTTCATCAGGTACCAGGCAGGCGTCAGCGCGTGCCTGCTGTGTGACAAATGAGCCAGGACAGGCTGGCACGAGGAGACAGGCCGAGGCCCTTCACTGACGCAAAACAAAACCACTAATGTTGCTCGGCGTCCCCTAAGCCCAGGGACACTGACCCACCTACAGGAACTTGCACAAAGGTCACCAGCTGGAACCTTCATCTGAGAGCAGACCTTGGTCTGTCGGACGCATTAGTGGCCCGAGGTCCCTGTGCGTGGCCTGTGCTGGCTGCAAGGAGGAGGAGAAGGAGGGGACGGTCCCCAGAGGCAGCCACTGCCCTCAGGGAGCTCAAGGGCAGGGCAAGGAGGGGATGACAAGGGTCAAAGGCAGGAGGCAGACCCCACGGGAAGAGAGCACAGGTCTGAAGGCGAGAGAGAGGGCCCGAGCCGTGCTGTGTCCATCTGCACATCCCGGGCCCAGGCACTAAAGACTTTCAGTAGACATTTGCTGGACTGAAAAAAAAGAAGAGGGGAGGGGTCGAACAGGAGCAACCGCTTAACGGGTTCAGGGTCTCTTTTTGGGGTGACGGAATGTTCCAGAACTAGAAGGAAGGTTGTTGCACAGCATTGCGAATGCGCGAAATGCCACCAAATCGAGCACTTTAAAATGCTTCATTGCACCTTCTGTGAATGTCACCTCAACAACAAAAAAATAATAAATGAGTGAGGAGGCTCAGGAGCAGGAGGAAAGGGGGCCCGGGGACACGCTGTCCGTGGAAGTTGCTCCGACGGCACACGCGTCCCGTGTCCAGGCTGTCAGCACGGGAGCGCCGAGCCCCCGCCACGTGGCAAGGGGGGCCGAGGAGCCAAGTTGCAAATTTTATTTGCCGTTGATTAGTTTAAATTGAAATCGCGGCCTCTGCGAGGGGCCCCCGTTGGGGGCAGCTCGGAGGGGGAGGGGGAGGACCCCAACGCTGAGCGTCGACGATGGAGAGGGCACCGGATGACCCCCGTGTTCTCATTTCCTCGTCACGACGACATCGGGGTCATGAAAACGCGGTGACATCACGATGGCTCCGATCGGAACTTCCAAGGGGGCTCGGCAGCCCCTGGGGGTGTCCGCTGTCGCCCGCGGTCACCTGCCCGTTTACCTGTCGTCTGCCGGCGCCGCCTCTGGCTTCTCTTCAGACCTGGGCAGGACGAACTCGGGCTGCGGCCTGGCGCTGGGGACAGAGAGAGGTGACGAGGATGACAAGCCGGCGTGGACCGCGGGGTCTCTCCCCGGTCACCGAGAGCGGTCTGCAGACTGCTTTGCTGTCCCCCGGGAAGCGCGGGGCCCGGAGGACGGAGGGAGGTGTCTGTCACCGGGGTGAATGAAGACGAGGCGGCTGGAGGAAGGGGGTGCGAGCGGGCCGGGGAGGGCAGGCCCTGAGCCATTTCTCAGCTGGTCACCGAGAGGCATCTGCACTCTTGTTCCCTGGACGCTGTCGCCCCGCCGGTGCCATGGTCCCCAAAGGGTGGACCCTGCCGGTGTTGTTTATCCCTCTATTCCTGTCCCCAGTGCAGGCTTGGGACGGGGAGGGGAGTAACCCAGGGAGAGAGAGAGATAAAGACAGAGAGACAGAGACAGACAGACAGAGAGAGGGGAGGAAGGAAGGGAGAAAAAGGAGCAAGACAGACAGACCTGACCCCCTCACAGGCGCCAGGAGGGCGACTATCATGAAAACAGACAATGACAAGGGTGGCGAGGACGTGGAGGAATTGGAACCCTCGTGCACTGTCGGTGGGAGTGGAAAATGGAGCAGCTGCTGAGGAAAACACTCCAGCGGTTCCTGGACAGATTGAAAGTAGAACCGGCATGTGATCCGGAATCCCACTTCTGGGGCTACACCCCAAAGAATGGAGGGATGTTTGCACAGCCGTGTTCAGAGCAGCGTGATTCGCAGCAGCCAAAAGATGGAAGCAACGCGAGTGTCTAGTGATGGAGGATGGACACACACAACGTGGTCCAGCCACAGCCTGGAATATTACGCAGCCACGAAAAAGAAGGAGGTCCTGACACCTGCTCCCATGTGGACGGACCTGGAGGACGTGATGCTCAGGGACGTGAGCCAGACACAGAGGGACACAGACTGTGTGGTCCACTCACAGGAGGTCCCCAGAGGAGCCACATCCACAGAGACAGAAAGTGGATGGGGGGCCAGGGGCTGGGGGAGGGGTGGGAGTCAGTGTTTCCTGGGGACAGAGCTGCAGTTTGGGGAGATGGAGGGTTCTGGAGACGGATGGAGGGGATGGTGGCACAACCGTGTGAGTGTGCTTCATGCCGCTGAGCTGTGTGCTTAAAATTGATTAAGAGGGTGAATTTTACATTATGTGTATTTTACTAGGATAAAATTTTTTTTTTAAAAAAAGACAGGATGGAAGGAAGGAAGGAAGGAAGAGAGAGGAAGAGAAGGAGGAAAAGTCCCCGAATGGCACGGGATGGTGAGTCCCGCCCGCCTCCAGCCTCTCTCCCCTGGTGGCCCACGGCTCGTCTGGCCTCTCTCACTATTAAATGACTCTGTGAAGCCGCCATGCTTTTGCTCATTACGCGTCTCATCTGCCGCTATCACCCTCCCTGCTCCAGGACCCATTTTCCTCGCTCGGTGAGGCGTGCCTCTCCTTCACCACTTGAAGAACCTTCTGGACCAGGACTCCATCTTATTCACCTCTGTTTCCCACGAGGCTGGCCCAGGGCCTGGCAACGACACAGGCTTTTGACCCACCGAAAGCCCCAACTCTCTCACCGACTTGCTGTGTGGCCTTGGGGGATGGCTTGCCCTCTCTGAGCCTTGGATTCTCATGGTTACGCCACTAATGAAAAATGAGCCAATGAGATAGCAAAGGGGTGTTTCTGGGTCTCCTAGGGGAGAGTAAGGAGCTTGTGTCCCCTCTGTAAAGGGAGATATTATTATTAATATTATCCTGGTTACCGTCATTAGTCTTTACGGAGCCACCATTTTCCCCAAGTGGCACAATGGCTGCCATTGCTCCTGAGATCTCACAATGACGCCCAAGGTGGCTATGAACTTTTTACTTGCCTAATGTCACCTGTCGGTAAATGGAGGAGCCTGGATTCGAACCCGGGTCGGACGCCAAGCCCTCTAGGGAAGGGCAGGGGCTTGAGCCGTGTGCTTGCATGACATGGGTCCCTGCTGAGCCGAAGCCGCCGGTCGCCCCCCCGGATTTGGGCCCAGCTCAGCGCCAGCCCCGACCCGGCCCTGACGAAGCCCCTGCACTGACCTCTCTCTCCTGGCCTTGAGCCGCTCCTCTTCGTACCTGGAAGGGAGAAGGAAAAGCACGTCGGGCGCAGCCCTCCTCTCCCCGTGCCCGGAATTCCCTTCCCTCTGGAACAGACACGACCTCATCGTCACATCCGAACACACGCCAGGCTGTGGAGGCGACAGGACAGCCCGCCATTCTCTTTTATGTTCCCTGCAGCCGCTTTACAAGCCCCCTGCTTGGTTGGCATATTCCAGCATCGGGTGTAGACATGACTCAGCAGACCCTTTTTGCCGGTTCAGCATCAGCGATGGAACCGTGCCCTGATAAAGCAAGGCCCGCATCCACGTGGGCGGGTCTACACACCCTTCCATCAGGCCAGTTTTTCTGTAAAGGGCCGAAGAGGGGATGTTTCCGGCTTGGCAGGCCAGTCTCGGTCATCGCGACTCAATTCAGTTGTAACTCAAAAGCAGCCACCGATGACGCATCAATGGGTGCGCGTGGCTGTGTGCCGATAAAACTTTATTTATAAAACCGAGCCGGGGGCCGGGGCTCGCTGGCCCCCGAGATGCCCAGGGCCGCTGCCTTCTCTAATCTCACATACGCCTGTTTTTGCTTCCGTTCTGCTGTTTTCCCAACGCGCCTGGTTCCCGGGCAGCCGTGTTTAGCTGAGCGGGGACGTGAGGAGCGCGGGGGGCGTTAGGGACTGAGGGGGTGGCGCTCCCACGGCACAGGGACACCTACTGGAGCACGCAGTCCGGGATCTGCACGTGTTCCATGGGGATGAGCTGCTCCAGGCCTTCCAAGCTGTGCACGTACTGGATCTTGTTGATAAACTTGACGCTGGCAGGATGGGGAGGAGGCAGGCGTCAGAGACGCAGCCCGCGGGCGGCACCCAAGCCACACGGAGAGACGGCACAGGGCAACGCACACGCGCCCTATTCCAGGGCGCCCCGAGCATCTTCCCTCCAGCTTTTTGCCCTGCCCGATGCCAGCCTCCACCCCGCGCCCCTGGGGGCTGGACAGAGCAGAACCGGCCCCACGGTTATTCCAAAAAAACCAACTTCAACCTAATTTTGGTGATACATAAAATCAACTTTTCTCAAGGTCAAATCAATTCCCCTAAGGATGAGAACTATAAGGCCAAGAGAATATAACGGCCCGATAAATAATAAAATAATCAAGTCACAGTAAAAAAAAAGTCAGGTAGAGGGGCCGGCCCGGTGGCACAGCGGTTAAGTGTGCACGTTCCACTTTGGCAGCCTGGGGTTTGCTGGTTTGGATCCCGGGTGTGGACATGGCACCGCTCGGCACGCCATGCTGTGGTAGGCGTCCCACATATAAAGTAGAGGAAGATGGGCACGGATCTCAACTCAGGGCCAGTCTTCCTCAGCAAAAAAAAAAAGAAAAGAAAAGAAAAAGAAAAAAAGGAGGATTGGCAGCAGATGTTAGCTCAGGGCTAATCTTCCTCAAAAAAAAAAAAAAAAAAAAGACACAACAACTCCCGTGGGTGTCCAGATACGGGCTCTAGACACTCACCTGATGAAAGGCCGGGAGATGGCCAGCACGGTGCGAATGAACCAGGACGGGTGGACGATGATCAGGGACTTCAGGTTCTTCCGCAATCTGCGTGGGGGGCACAGGAAGAAAGATGAGCTCCCAGTGGCTCCAGGCTCCTCCCGGTTTTCCGGGGCGGCCGTGCAGCCTCCGCAAAGCTGGGCGCCTTCGCAGGGTCGTGGGAGCTGACGGCCGGTCCCGCCCGAGTCTTAATCCAGAGTCTGAGCTGTCGACCGCGTGGCCACACCGCCGTCCCGTCCTGGAAGCTTTTCTGGGCGCCCCGGTTCTGGGTATCGCTTACGGTCATGTTGAATTCATATGTCCCCCCCGCCCCGAATTCATACGTTCAGGTCCCAACCCCCAGGGTCTCAGGATGGGACCTTATTCGGGAAGAGGGTCCATGCAGGAGAAATTAGTTCAGGCGAGGTCACACCGGGGTGAGGGGGGGTGGCCCTAAACCAATGTGACTGGCGTCCTTATAAAAGGGGACCTTTAGACACAGACACGCAGGGAGAAGGCCACGCGAAGACGGAGGCAGAGGCCGGGGTGACACTTCTACGAGCCGAGGACGGCCAGCGGCGCCCCGAAGCTGGGGGTGACATGGGGCAGATTCCCCCTCTCGGCCCCCTCGGCCCCGGCCCTGCTGACCCCTCGATCTTGGACTCTGGCTCCCAGAAACGGGGAAGGATAAATGTCCGTGGGGCTTTGCTGCGGCCACGCCACCATTCAGAGCGACCTCGGCGCTCGGGGTCCCTGGTCCCCGCCGCCGGGCTCACCTCCTGTCAATCATCTGGTAACACTTCTTCAGCCAGCCGATGCCGGGCATCCTCCGCCGCGGGGTGGCCCCATTCAGGTACACGATCATGTAATCCTCGGCCACCAGGAGCTCCAGACTGCTGATGACGTACCTGGTCACCGGGCCCGGAGGACAGGGGACCCGGCCGGCGGGGCCCAGCGTCAGGGAGCCCCAGCTCTCACGCCTGAGCACCCGTGTCCCCGGCCCCAAACAGGCACCCATGGCGGACGGTCCCCCGCCTCTTCCTGAGCGACTCCAGAAAAATCCTGCCCCTCGTTCTCAGCCTCGAGTTCCCCATCTGTGCCTGTGTGTCCTTGGGCAAGTGACCCAACCTCTCTGTGCCTCGGGCTCTGCACTGTAGAATGGGAGGCAACGGCACCTCCCCCGTGGGGTCCCGGGGAGGGTGGGGAGCGCCCAGCCTCGTGGCTGCCATATAGTAAAGGCCCCGAAATTGATAGTGGTGACCAGGGGACCCGGATGGAGGTCGGCCGGCGGGCCAGCCCGCCCGGCGGGGACGGAGAACAGCCACTTACAGGAAGAGGTTCTCCATGATGTAGTGGTAGTCGGGGGAGCTGCTGTCCGGGAGGAAGCAGGCGGCGAAGACGATGATGGCATTGAGACCCTCGCCGTAGTACCCTGCACAGAGGCGGCCGTGGGTGGCCCCAGGCAGAGACGGGCAGAGAGCCGGGACGCCGGCCACCCCGTCGGTGCCCGCTGGTCCACGCCTCGGCCCCGTGCAAGTTTCACCCCACCCCCTGCCCTCCCCGAGACCAGGGCTTAACATCCCTGAGGCTCAGAAGAAGAGAGCGAGGTTCAGAGAGGGCCACTGACCGGCCTCCAGCTGGTGCCGGGAGGGGGCCAGGGGCGCGGTCTCACCTCCGTGGGTCACCACCCTCATGTAGGGCCGGATCATGTGCAGGTCGATGCGGTGTTCTTGCTCTCCGATGATCACCGTCCGCCACAGCCGTCCGTTGGCCGCGCTGCCATCCTCGGCCGCGCCGTCCCCGAACAGATCCGCGCTGTCCCCCGGCATGTTCTTGGCGGCAGCCACGGGCGTGTCATCTGGGAGCAGGCGGGGTGGGGGGTGTGACAGAGGGGATGCCTGAGTCGGGCATCTCGTCCCGGCCTCCCGCCTCCTTCCGCTGCCCGTGGCCGCGTGGCCGCACCTCCCTTTTGTCCTCCGCTTTGCCGACTGACGGCGTGTGGCGGGGCTGGGGGTGCTGCTGGGGGAAACGGCGGCTCTGGGAGTCAAAAAATCACGCCTAAATCACAACTCGGGTCTTTTTCAAACTTCAGAACACAGGAAAGTGCTCGCGGGGGACGTCAGGCGGTCGACCTGGGTAGACCCCGTTTCTGCCAATGACTCGCTGTGTGGCCTTTTGGGCATTCTGTCCCTCTCTGGGCTTCTCAGGTTTTTAACTACTCAAAATGTCCCCGTCTTGCCCACCTTCCTTCCTGCAGTCTTCCCGCCTCAGGAAACGGTGCGGCCACATCCCGGCTGCTCAGAGCCCCAGAGCAGGCATCCCGGTCGCCTTCTGTTCCCTCTCTGTTCCTTCCATCCCCGAGGCCACCGCCGCCTCCTCCTCTGGGGTCTCCCTGCCTCCGATCCCCGCCACCGCCACCCGCTTTCGCCAGGCTACACTAGGGAACGAGGATGGGAACCCCAATCCGGTCGGTCCCCCGGCAGTTTCCCACCAGACTGGGAATAAAAGGTGACCCCCCCCAACCCTGCCCTGTCCCCTCGCCTCCTCCTTTGGCTCCCAGCATCCACGCGCAGCTGCTGGGACCCTGGCGCGTCTCTGGTTTCCAGCACCGTCTTTGTGCCACGTGTGCCGTGGGCCCCGTCTCTTCCCGGCCCGTCCCCCCCAGACCCCCCAGACCCTCAGTGGACACCCGGAGTGGACGCCCCGCCGACTCTGGGCAAATCGGCTGGAGACACACCCTTCCGGTCTCAGAAAGCCAAGTCCCCGGGGAAAAACCCACGCGTCCCCGAGCCAGAGGGGCCGGAGGCTCCGGGTGGCTCCCGTGGGCGACCTCGGCCTCACCTTCCCACTCCAGCTCGTTGCCGTTGCCCAGAAACTCGAGCGAGTCGGTCTCGTCGGGGGTCTCGATGTCGTCCACGTTGATGTCCAGGTCATCGGGCGTGTCCAGGAAGTCGTCGGACAGCAGCGAGCCCTCGCTCTGGTCCAGGGACAGGTTGATCTCGGGCGCCACCAGCGTCTTGCGCTTCCGATGGGCCCCGTTGAAGGTCAACGTGTTGGGAGGGGCTGTGGGGAAAAAAAAAAAAAAAACAGCAAAATCAGACAAAACGGGGTGACTTTTCTTTCTTTTTCCCACTCCCCACTTCCCGCCCCGGCCGCCACGCGACGTCCTCTTGTGCTGGACATTCACGCCGTCACCGTCCGCTCGTCCAGAGCCCCCTCGCGCCTCTGAGCTTGACTCAGTTTCCCCATCTGCAAAAGGGGCTCGCGGGAGGTGAGCCGGGTCAAGGTCGCATGGACGACCCGCCCGCTAGACCCCGGGCGCCGGCCCCACTCTGGCCGGTGTCTGCGGTTACTGTCGCCTCCGGGCGCGGCTGGCAGAGAACACCCACCCACGTCCTACTTTTTCCATTTCTGGGACCTTCGAGTCTTTAATAAAATGTACGGATCACGGAACCCGGGCCAGGCCTCCCCGGGGCTTCTGATGTCCCCACCGTACGACATCCCACAGTGGCGAGTTCCGAGATTGTCCGCTTTACCGGATGTGCAAACGGAGGCACAGAGGGAAGAGGACCCTCCAGGTGGCTCTGGAGCTGCGTGGGGTGGGACCCCCTGTGGTCGTGACTGTTTCCTCGTAAGACTCTTAGCCTGGACTCTCGTTTCCCAGAAAAAGGCGGTTTCTCCTCCCAGGGTGGCCCCTCGGGGTCACGTCAGGGGAAAGCCATCATCTCCCCAAAGCCAGCGCCAGGGCCAGAGGCCGGCCTCCCACTCCACAGCCAGTGAGGACAAAATAGACACCAGGAGGACAGTCCCGCCCCTCTCTCCCGGGAAGATGTTCATTGATCGACAATTAAATGTACTAGCTCCTCATATTTCCTTTTCTTTGAATTTCCCTGTCCCAGAGCAGCGGGTCAGAGACGATCATAACATTGAGCTCTCTTCCTCTGTTACTGTCACAGCACGGTGACAGTTAGACAAAGTGTCGATGTGACACTTCTCGTTAGTGGGGAAGCAAGGCGTCAGTAATGTCACCATGCGGACCTGGGGGACACAGCATGGAGCGAAAGAGGATTATTCTCCAGCCTTAAAATCGAATGGAATTTGCCCTTAAAAAAAAAAAAAAATCCAATGGAGTTTGTCCTGCCGACTTTCAGACTCGCTCAGATCCTTTCTTCCTTCCAATTTCTCCCTTCTGGAATGAGAATATCTCCCCTATGCCTGTCCCACCTATGTATTTTGGAAGCAGATAGCTTGTCTGTGTCTCACAGGTTCACAGCTGGACAGGACAAATCACACCTGAGACGTTTTTCTCTGAAGGCCTTCGACTGATTAGATGAGGCCCACCCGCATTACAGTGGGCCCTCTGCTTTACCCAGAGTCCACCGATTTGAATGTAAATGTCGTATAAAAAATGCCCTCAGCAGAAACATCTAGAATAGCGTTTGACCACATAGCTGGGTACCGTGGCCCAGCCAAGTGGACGCAAAAAAGTAACCATCTCAAGGTCCCTCTTGCCACGTGAGGGGACAGTCACAGGCTCCAGGAACCAGGATCAGGATCTTTGGGGGCTGTTATTGAGCCAGCCACACCCAGGAAGCAGGGTACAGTTCCTACATACACCTCATTTTTCAGAAATAGGATATGGAGGCCCAGAGCGGAGAAGGGACTCCTCCAGGTCACCCTGCGGGGATGTGACAATCCCAGGCAGAGCCCATGCACTCAGGCCTGAAGAAGGGCTGGCACTCTAGGTGATCAACCGTCTGGGACCAGCTGGCCCCCCTCCCTGGTCCACGGGCACAGTGTGGGGCAGGGGTGGGCAGTCCCGGATGCACTGCTGTGTGACCTCAGGGACGTGGCTGTCCCTCTCTGGTCAGTCTTTCCCCTGTAGGGTGGGCACAGCAATGAGCTGCACGGAGGAGATGCAGGCAGAGCAGGGGCCCTCAGCGGGGCTCGGCGAGGAGAGGCCATCAAGGCATTTCCTCCTCTGGCCGCCTGGGACTGCCTGTCCCCGAAGTCTGGGGCTTTGGAACCTCAGAGCCATGAGCCCCCCTGAGTGCCCAGGGCTGACTTTGTGCCTGGCACCCCCTGCCCACTTTACACGTACCACCTTGTTTAATCCTCGCATGCCCCTCCTGCAGGAGGCTCACTCCATGTATTTCAGAGATGAGGAATTGGAAGCACAGAGAAGCTGAGCAACCAGCTTGAGGACACACAGCCACACTGCATGAGAACGTCATGACGGTGTCCCAGCATCTGTCAGCCACCGTGGCTGCTTCCCCTGTAGGCCTCGGAGCAGAGGAGCCAGCCCCCGCCCCCGATGTCCGCCCCAGAGGCAGGGCCTCCAACATTTCTCCGGAAATTTCTAAGGACCTGGCAAGAGCGCGCCCACTTCTGCGCTCAGGGGAACTTACAGGACGCGTCGGCCTCGGGGCTGCCGGGGGAGTCTGATCCCGTCTCTTCCGGGAGCGGCCTGTGGACCAGCCGGAGCGAGCGTCAGTCAGCCACCAGGCGCCGCGAATCCAGCCGCGGGAGGAGATCCGAGAAAACAGCGAGAAATGCGTTTAGTTAGAGGAATCGCTGGGACCACGGACACCCCGTCATTGGCTCAGAAAATCCTCAGACACCAGCGCGGGCTGGCGGCCTTCCCGTCACCTAACGAATGCTACGCCTTTTCTTTTTTTGGAGGGGAAAGCAAAGCCCAGACACGGCTTCACGTGGAGGGGACCCCGCAGAGTGGGGTCTCGACGAGACGCTCGGGTGAAACGCAGCAACGAGCTGTCAGAGGGACACCACGGGGGCCGCCCGGGGTGCAGCGGTTAAGTGCGCCATTCTGATTCTCAGTGGCCCGGGGTTCACCGGTTCGGATCCCGGGTGCAGACATGGTACTGCTTGGCACGCCATGCTGGGGTAGGCGTCCCACATATAAAGTAGAGGAAGATGTGATGTGAGCCGGGGTTTGTCTGGGTTTCCTCATGGTCGGCTGGGGCGGTGGGTTCTGGGAGGGCCCCGGAGTGAAGGGCCCTCTTCGCCCCATCATCCCAAGGTCCTGCCACCACCGAGACTGACCCCTGTGATGTCAACTTGGTCCCCTGGCTGAGATGTGTGATCGGCTGTCTGCACCATAACGTCCCTCCCCACCTTCTTCTTTTTTTTTTTGTTGAGGAAGATTAGCCCTGAGCTAACATCTGCTGCCAATCCTCCTCTTTTTTTGCTGAGGAAGACTGGCCCCAAGCTCACATCTGTACCCATCTTCCTCTACTTTATATGTGGGACGCCTGCCACAGCATGGCTTGCCGAGCGGTGCCATGTCCGCACCCGGGATCCGAACCGGCGAACCCTGGGCCGCCAAATAGGAACATGCGCACTTAACTGCTGTGCCACCGGGCCGGCCCCAGTTTTTTTAAAGAAATGCAGCCAGCTATGCATTGGTGCCTCTTTAACGCCTGGCTGTGGGCACAGATCTGCAAAAGCAGGCCTTTTTCTGGGGCAATGCCCGCACTGCTTTGTGGAGCACCGGCTCTTGCTGCCCGGGTCTGACCCAGGCGCCCCGGCTCCTCTGCTCCCTGGGGGAAGTTCGGCTCCGGGCAGAACGTCCTGCCGAGGGCCCGGGCTGTCCCAGGCTCCCGCCGCAGGGCCTGCTGACTCGGGGATGCGCTGCCACTCATCCCAGCGGAAAGGGGGCTGTGTAGACAGCGACGGACATAGAACGCTTTTTCCTTTCCTTTTCCAGAATGACTTATTCCCTCGCCTCTGTTCCTCCGAGGGCGCGAGCTGGCCCCCTGTGCAGGGTCAAATCTCCCCACGCTGCTGCCTTGGCCACCCTCCCGTCCTTCTCCCGCACACCGTGCATCGAACGTTCTTTGAGTAACGACCACCTCTCAGGACACTGGGGGGTCTTGGAAGGACAGGATGAACCAGAGGTCAAAAGTCAAAATAGAGCGGAGGCCCAAAGGAAATGAAGACGTACGTCCACTCGAAAACTCATACTCAATGTTCATAGCGGCAGGAGTCGCAGTAGCCAAAACGTGGAAACAGCCCAGATGTCCATCAACGGATGAATGGATGAACAAGACGCGTGGTCCGTCCACACACCGGAGTATTATGCAGCCGTGAAGAGGAGCGAGGCCCCGACACGGCTGCACGTGGACGGAACTGAACCCACGACGCTCAGGGAGAGAAGCAGACACAGAAGGACACATGGCGTGTGACCCCATGGACGGGAAACGTCCAGAACAGGCAGATCCACAGACAGAGAGCAGGCTCATGGGGGCCAGGGGCTGGGGAGGGGGTGGGGGTGATGCTGATGGGGACCGCGCTTCCTTTTGGGGCGATGGAAATGTTTCCCGGACTAGATAGAAGTGATGCCCACATAACACTGTGACTTTGCCAAATGCCACTAAATCGTGCATTTAAAATGGCTAATTTTATCTTATGCGGATTGCCTCTCAATTGAGAAAAAAGCGAGCTTTAAATAAAGTCGGAAGAAGGTTTTAAAGAGGCAGGCGGGGCTGAAGCGTCCTCTTAGAGGCCCGTTTGGTGTCCTCGCCGCCCTGTCCCTCTCGTCTGTAGCTGCCGCCCCTCCTGCTCCCCACACGGTCGGGCCTGGTGACTCATAAGCCCAGGGTCCTGGGGCACAGGGAGCTCACCGCCCGACGGCAAGGTGACCCCGAATTGCAGACTGACAGCGGACGCCTCACCCCTAGTTCTGGTTCTGCCCACACAGCATTTAAGAACATTTTTAATTTGCTGCGAGGTCAGAGCTGGGACACAAAACGTCTAGATTTCCATCTCTTCTTGAATGTGCTCTGCCCTTCGCGAGTGGTGACAACCCCCAGGAGCTGATTATCGGCCACTCCTGCTCCCCCTGGGTGTCGGGATTTCCTTCCGGCTCCTTCTCTCCTTTGGGGTGCCTCCCGGGGGCCCGTCAGCCTGAGGCTGCAATTTCCGCTGTTCTGGAATCAGCCAGAATCAGGACTCGCCCCGTGGGTGGGGCACTCGCTCTGAGCCAGGGTGGCATGTTCACCGTGCCATCTTATTTGCTCCTCGCGGCAACCCTAGGAGGCAGGGAGAAGCCCATTTCACAGACGGGGAAACTGAGGCTGGGCTAGGGGATGCCTCCCCCTCATGCTGGGGGTGTTGAACCGGTCCGGCGGCAGATCAGATCCCCGTCACTGCCCGCTACTGCCCCCTTGTGCCCGGCCAGTGCACGTGCACCGACCCAAATAGGGACGGAAACAGGGTGACTGTATGAATGTATATATAATAATATTATATACAATAATACAAATATACATTATATATGTTACGTATATAATGGAAACCTACTGCTTCTGTTTCTTTGAGGAGCCCTGAGTGCCACACGAGGGAGGAAATATAACAATGAAGGAAACAGATGAGCAGAGCAGATGGTGACGCTGGCAACAAAGAAAATCAACAAGATGAGGGAGCGGGAGGGGGCGCGAGGACAGGGTGGTCAGGGAAGGCCTCCCTGAGGAGGTGACCTTTGGGCGGAGACTTGAAAGCAAGAGGTTGGCTGCGGGGAGGTCGTTCCAGATGGAGGCACAGCAGGGGCAAAGGGCCTGGGGCAGGAATGAGCCTGCCGAGCTATAGGAAGAGATGGGACAGAGGGTGGGGGGCAGGGGTGGAGAGAGGAATCGGGGAGTGGGAGGGGTGGAGGAGGAGGGTTGGGGGAGGTGGGGCCAGGGGAGGAGATGTCGTGGGAGCAGGAGGCACCGGGCACAGACCCCAACCCCCCAGGACTCCACGAATGTTCCATAACTTCCAGACCATGCTGACCCGGAGGAGCCGATTCAGCAGGCTCCCTGGAGGAGGCGCCCGCCGCTTCCTGACGCGGGCTGAGCACACGGCCGCCCTGCCCATCCACAGGGCTGCGGCTTCCAAGGCCAGGGGACACCTAGCTGCTCCCCCAAGTCCCGGGGAGACCCCAGATTCTGCTGCACCAAAGCCCCTCCACGACCTCACCGTGGATCGAGATGGCTCCCCGCGGTGCTGGCTCCCGTCTGTGACAGGCAACCCACGTCCAAAGTGGGGGTCCCCCTAATAGGCAAGGCGGACGGTGTGGCTTTATCCTTTGGCAGTGGGTTGAGTTGTGGCCCCCCCCCCAAAAGAGAACTCAAGTCCTAACCCCCACGCCCTGGGAAGGGGACCTCCTTGGAAATAGGGTGGCTGCAGACGTAAGGAAGTTAAGATGACGTCATCCTGGATTAAGGGGGGCCCTACGTGCAGAGAGGGGTGTGTCTATAAGGAGGAGGAAATGTGGACACAGACGCACAGGGGGACGGCCACGCGCACGGGGAGGCGGAGCCCGGAGTGATGCGTCTGCGAGCCACGGAGGGCCAAGGACGGCCGGCCACAACCAGAGGCTGGAGGAGGCAAGGAGGGTACTTGAGTCTGGACTCCCAGCCTCCAGAAGGGGAAACAATACAGTTCTGTCATTTTGGGCCACCCAGGTTGTGGTCCTTTGGGGTTTTTTTTTTAGGAAGATTAGCCCTGAGCTAACATCTGCTGCCAATCCTCCTCTTTTTTGCTGAGGAAGACTGGCCCTGAGCTCACATCTGTGCCCATCTTCCTCTACTTTATATGCGGGACGCCTACCACAGCATGGCTTGCCAAGCGGTGCCATGTCTGCACCCGGGATCCGAACCGGCGAACCCGGGGCCGCCGAGAAGCGGAACGTGTGAACTTAACCGCTGCGCCACCGGGCCGGCCCCCGTGCATGATCTCACTTACATGTGGAAGATAAACAAACACATGGACAAAGAGAACGGAGGGGAAGGAGGTTGGGGGCTGGGCGAACGGGGTAAAGCGGCACAGACATATGGTGACAGATGACGCTTAGACTATTGGTGGTGAGCACGCGGAGGTCTACACAGAAATGGATAAATAGTGTACACCTGAAATTTCACAATGTTATAAACCGTTACGACCTCGATAAAATAACTTAAAAAGGAGAGGGAGAGACCCGAGAGATCTCTGTGTCTCTGCCGGCGAGCGCAGAGGAGAGGCCTCGCCGGGCCCTGAGCTTGCACTTCGAGCCTCCAGAACCGGGAGAGGAGAAGGGCATGTTGATGAAGCCGCCCGTCTGGGCGAGGCTGTGTGGCCGCTGAGCTAACGGAGGAGGGGACAAGAGGGGACGAACCCAGGGTGGCTGGAGCTGAGGACGGAGGAGACACTGAGGATGGTCAGGCCCTTCCGTCCCTGCTTGTCCCGAGCCCATGGCTCGTGCACAATGTTTTTTGGGATTGCTAAGTTGTGCAACACAAAATCGTCTCTGTGTGTGCACTCGGCTGGGGGAGAGAGAGGGCACTGGCCTGCCCTGGCAGGGACAGACAGACGCAAACAGGAGCCGAGTATATATATATATACGGAGAGAGACAGAGACAGAGAGACCGAGGGGAGAGACAGAGGAGGGCAGGAAGGGAGTGAGAGAGGACGATTGACAAAGCGAAGGGAGTAAAATGGTAACAATTGGCGAATCTGGGTGAAGGTTTATAGATATTCTGCTAAGTTTGGGACGACAACAGAATAAAAAGCTACAAATAAACCAAACCCACAGCCCACTGGGCTGTGAAAGGACGAGCGGGCCGAGGCAGCAGGCAGAGATCTCGCCCTGCACCTGCCTCTCCTTAGCTGTGAGACCCTGGCCAAGCCCTTCCCTGCCCTGGTCCTCAGTGTCCCCCCTCGGTTTCCCTTCAGTCTCTCAACTTGCTTCTGCTGGCCTCAGGACCTTTGCATGTGCTGTTCTCTGTGCTTGGAATGCTCAGCCTCTACCCCCAGCCTCCATCTCCTGTTCATCCTCCTTCATCCTTCACAGCACAGGGTCAGCACCACCCCCAACCTCCCGGACCCAGTCAGATCCCACCCAGCACTCTCCAGGCGCCAAAAACCCAGCTGCGATTTCACACTGGGTTGTGCGTGAGGTCATAAGGGGACGCCTGTCTCTGCCCCAGACTGAGAGCGGAGCCCAGGGCAGCCGTCTTGCTCTTCTCCACGTGTCCTCAGCGTCTCGCTCAGGGCCTGGCATACAGTCGGCGCATATCATGAGAAAGAACGAATGGAGAAAGTGGGGCAGCCACAGAAATCCTCCCCAGGCTGCCCTCAGCTCTGGCTCCAGAGGGATCCGCAGAAGGGCAGGAGGGAGAGGCCGCAAGACAGTGGCCGCGGGAGCGGGGGCTGTGGGCCTGGGGCCCAGCGGGGGGGTCCTCTGACCCCCCGGGGAAGCTCGAAGACGCCCCGGGAAGGGACCAGCGAGCTGGAAGGAACAGAATCGCGCGTTGTCCGGCCCCAGACAGAGCTGGTTATGTGCAGAGGCAGCTGGACTCACTTCTTCCAGAAGGAGGAAGACAGAGGCCATGGCTCGGCGCTGGCTCACCCCCGGGGCTGCACAGCGAGGCCTCTATCCCGCAGACACTGCCCCACTGAGATGGCCGGGGACGCTCCGCAGCTGGGGGACACGCCCCCGAAATCCACCCGCGCAGCTGCCACCAGCCCCGTCTTTGTCCCCACTGGGCTTGGGAGAGGAGAAATCTTTGTAAAATGTGGGGAGGGGCCGAAAAAAGGAACTGGAGGCCCAAGACACAAGTTAATAAGACCAGCCCCGAGGGGGCTGTCTATGTGGGTAGCTGTCATCGTCTACACAGCCTGCTTTAGCCGTCTCGCCCCACGCGCCCCGTCGAGTTCTCACGACAGCTTCGCGAGCGACGGACGGTGGTCTCCATTTTAAGAGAGGGAAACTGAGGCATCGAGATGCTGGAAGGTTGCCGAGGCGGCCGAGCGAGCCTGTCGGGGAACCGGGATCGGAGCCCACGGCCGTGGTCCGGTTCCCAAGGTCGCGCCCTTTTAATCCCGCTGTGCAATAAAATAAATTCAGAGCATTCCCACCCACGTCAGGACTTCCTTGCTCAGAAACGGGCCTTCATTTGCCCAAACGACCCCATCCGGGCGTCGGGAGATCCCTTTCCACGCAGCCGGACGTCAGCATCCTTATGTTGACTTGAAGAGAAGGACTGTGACCCGGAGAGAAAATGCTAAAGGGGAAAGGGCGGGAGGTCAGTAGCAAGGAATGGGCCACCGCTGTCCCGAAATACTTGTATTTTCGAAGACAAACTCCTGCGGACGACAGCGCCGGGCGGACGAGATTCTCGGCTGTTCTGAGCACGGGCGCCTCTGGCTAGAGAACCGCAGTGCACGGCGTGCGAAACGCAGAGAGCAAATGCGACTGGATTCGGGGTGCGGGGTAAATTCAGATTCAAATGGGTGGTGATGCCCCCGACGTCGCGGCTGCTACCGGGCACAGTGGACACGGGGCTCCGACCGCCCCCGTCAGTCTGTGCCCGTTTTGAGGGACCGGTCGTATAAAGCGTATATTGGACCATTTGAGCCCGTTTATTCTATATTGGACTCAAATCTGGGTCCCTTTGATGCCTGTTCATCAGCCTAGTTCTGCCCTGGGGACCCTCTGCGACGGAGATATTCTGGGACCGCTGATCTTCAGACACTCTTTTCCAGGGTCAACACGCTTGGTCCCTTCGACTCTCGCTTCCCAGATGCTTATGCGATAACCCTGGGGCATCGTCTCCCGCGGGTAAAAGCCTTGCCTTCAAAGACGCAGGCGACGAGCAGTTGATCCAGGCTCAGGGGGACCCTGCGGTGACAGTGTTTTTTCTCACCCAGCGCCTCTCCGGGAGGAGAAAATAGAGAGAGAGAGGCAGGCCTGGCGGCTCGTGCATCTCAGAAGCGAACACACACAGCTCCCTTCCTCCGCGATTTATTCCTACGGTGACCGTCACCCGCTCGCACGGTATCTATTGAGCGCCGGCTGTATACCAGGCTCCGTCCTCGTGCTGGCATACAGCAGGCAGGGAACCAAAGGTCCCTGCTCTCTCGGGGTTCCGTGGCGCGGAAACAGTCTATAAACAAGAGAAGGATGTAAAATCTTTCGCCTATTAGACTGTCTGAGTCACCCAGGGCTGCCGTCACAAATGACCGTGAACACAGTGGCTTAAAACAACACACATGTACTCCCTTGTGATTGTAGACGCCAGAAGCGAGCCTGAAATCAGTGTCACCGGACTGACATCAAGGGGTGGGCAGAGCTGGTCCAATCATGTGTGCAAAGTCCCGTTTGCGATGGAAGGAAACATTCTCAGGTCCCGGGGATTAAGGCGTGGATATTTTGGGGGGACGTTACTCAGTGAGGAAACAATTCAGGAACGGGGGAGGGGGGAGTGAGGGGGCCAGGAGGTCCTCTTTGAGAAGGTGGCCTGTGGGCAGAGACTGAAGGGGGTGAGGGAGCCAGGGTGTTCCAGGCGGAGGGAACGGCCAGCGCGCGGGGAGTCTGAAAGTCAGAGCCAGCTGGGCACATCGAAGGAACAGGAAGGGAGACGCTAACGGGGCATGAAGGGGACGGGAGTGATGGGAGGTGAGGTCAAAGATGAAGGGGGAGGCTGAACCCCAGATTTTCTGTGGGATGGGCATTTACCCCAGGGTTTTTTTTTTTTACAGTTATATTGAGCAGGCTTTTTTTTTTTTTTTTTTTTTTTTGGTGAGGAAGATTGGCCCTAAGCTAACATTTGTTGCTCATCTTCCTCTTCTTTTCTATTTTCTCCCCAAAGCCCTCCAGGACATAGTTGTATATTCTGGTTGTAGGTCCCTCTGGCTGTGCTATGTGGGACGCTCAGCGTGGCCTGACGAGCGGTGCCATGTCTGCACCCAGGATCCGAACCGGTGAAACCCTGGGCCGCCGAAATGGAGCGTTTGAACTTAACTACTTGGCCACGGGGTCAGCTCCCTGTCCCAGGGGTTTGAAGCAGGGTACAAGGTCTCTCTGGCTGCTGCAGGTAAAAATACGCCATCCCCTGAATGCATGGGAACCCAGGCGAAAATATTGCAATAGTCGTGAGACGGTTTTAGAAAAATGTTGAGAATTCTTAAAACAGTGTGGGAATGGGAGCTTTTTTGGCTCTTTGGAGGGGGTTGGGGGAGAATCAATCTGAAGTAATTCAGGAAATATTCATTATGTGCCCGGTCAACTAGGGAGGGGTCTCTGCACCACCACCCCCCCCGGAGAAGCGAGGGGGCCCGCTCCCTCCGCCGACCCCGAGACCTGGAAGCCACACCTGGGAAGCGCTTCGCCCTGCCACTCTTCCTTCACATCCACGTTTTCCATCCTGAGCGTGGCCTCGGTGGTCCCCATGGGAGCCGGGAAGAGGCGCCGACCCGAAGCAGAGACAAACCTGAAGGAGAGCCACGGATGGAGGCATTACTGGACGACCATCATGATATCAACCCCCCACCACACACACACACACACACACACACACAGCACTTCACAGTGATCTGCAAACAGCTCTCACGTCCACGGTCTTGAATCATTCCCCAGTCCCATGAGACTTTCTCATTTCACAGGTGAGAAAACAGAGGCGTGGAGAGTTGAGAACATTCATGTGGGTCTGGAGTTTGAACCACATGAGGGGCTGAACCTCCAGCCACAAGCCCCGCTCCCTTTGAAGCTCTGAAATCCACCCTTCCCAGGGCTTATCATTCCTCCCTCACCTTGGACTTCAACTGGGAAGCAATAAATCAATTAAAGTCATTTATACTAAAGTGTTAATGACTGATATACTTAAGCTTCCTTGCTAGGATTGACACATTCAAACAGGACCTGGTCAACCCCAACCTACCTCCATCTGCTCCAGGCTACCTGCCCTGCCTCTCTGTCACCCCACAAAGAAACAAGTCCTGACAATCTGCTGACCCCAGGACTAACGAAGGCAGGGTGGAAAGAGACCGGGGTTGGAAGTCAGGATCTTAGTTACTACCAACCACAAAATGCCAGTTTTGTTTTTATTGTTCTGAGGAGCCAGCTGGCAGCAGGCGTGGGGCGGGGGGGCAGCATTCTAGGCCGTGACTTAAGTGCTGGGCCATCGAGAGCGAAAGTAGAACTGAGTGAGATTGCTATCGGGTCCACCCTGGGGCACGGCAGACTCCCAAGCCACTCGCTCTCCCAGCCTCAGCTTCCCTGTCTGTAGATGAAAAAATTGGGCTAGAAATGATCTCTGTGGTCCTTCTGGCTGCAGCATTCCAGGATCTTATCACTCAATCAACACCATAGCATCTGTGCTTTTAAATCAGTGGTTCTCAACGGGGAGGGGGGCGATTCTGCCCCCCGCCCGTGGGGGACACGTGGCCATGTTGGGAGGCATTTGCGGCTGTCACAACTGGGGGGGGAGGTGCTCCTGGCATGGAGTGGGTGGGGCCAGGGATGCTGCTCAACCCCCCACAGTGCCCAGGACGGCCCCCCCCACGACCAGGAATGACCCGGCCTCAAATGTCTATACATCTGAGATTGAGAAACTCTGTTTTAATCCACACGCTTGTGCAAGGATTGTAGGCCCGGGTTTGGCAGTCGTTAAGGAGAGCCCAGGGTGTCATCGTATCACATCCTCCCAACAGCTCCTGTGTTGTCATCCTCACTCACCAGCGTCTAAGGTCCCCCACCCCCCCCGCCCGAAGCTGCGGCTGCCCCTCCGGAGAGCTGGTGCACGGCTGCCAGTGTGGGCGTGTCATTCGAAGCCCCTTGCTGGGCCTGGGTCCCTGGAGACGCTGGGTCTGCATTTGGGACTGTAGCTCAGGGAGCGAGGACCCAGAGGGAGGCTGGGCCCTCTGGGGACCAGGCAGGCGATGGCTAAAATTAGACGCCCCCACTCCCCCCGGGTGAGAGTTTCTCACTCAATTCTTGTCACCGTCCTGAATGTCGTCATTCATTTACGGAGGAGGGACAGCAAGACGCAGTCCGGAAAGGGAAAAAAAATCTCTTCACGATGCTACGGGCGACAGCCGCCCAGAAGCTGACGGCCAGGGAAAGCTCACGTCAGCGGAAATTCGTCTCCTATCTGAAAGGAGTGGTCTTTGGGTCTGTTTTCCTCATCCCAAGTCGGGGGGGGGGGGGGGTGACCTCAGTCCCGGGGAAGGACCACCCAGCCCCCCACCCACCCACAGCGCAGACTCTGCAGCCACATATGTTGGCTCCACCATCCTCTAAACGCGGGGTGTGGGTGGGTCCCCAAGGGGCCCTGGACACCCTCTCTCGGATGCTCACTTATATTCAAGGATGGCAAATAAAATAAAGTGAGGGACCGCTGGAAAGTGTCCCTTTGCTCCGCGCTGGCGAATGACCAGCACATCAGGTACAAATTCCGAGAAGGAAGGCGGAATCTGTCTTGCACGGTCTCCCTTCCTCCCCACCCCGCAGGCGGGCCTTTACCCGCAACATCTCTCGGGTCCTTCTTCCAAATCCGCTCAGGGGGTTATAAATAGGAAACGCGCAGAGGTGGGACCTGGACATGTCAGTCTCTTAGGAAGCATCCCCGACAGAGGGGCTGAGGGTTTAATCCGCTTAACCTCCAAGCGGGTCTTGAAAATGGTGCAGCCCTCTGTCTTCCGAGGGAACGGTGGGCACGGAAGGTGCCCTGGGGGGCGGGGTGTGTGTGCCGGGCGGATGGTTTTCCTCGGCCCGGGGAAAAATGGATGGTACCACCCCAAGCATCACGAGACCGTGCTTCTCCGCTCCCACCCTCCCCGCCTGCCAGAAGGGGGTTTGCGGCGGCAGATGCCTCCGGACAGACCTTCCCGGCAGGGCGGGGGGGTAGGGGGGTGGAAGGAAGGTGGACTCACCTCCACGCTGAGTCCCGGTTGCCTCCGCGGCCTCTCCTCCTCCTCCTTTTCCTCCTCGTTAGGCGCAAACAAAGGCGAGCCCCGCGCGGATGCAGCCGAGCATCTCTCGCCTCCGGAGCGCGCTCCCCGGGCCTTCAGAGCATCCGAGGCTGACGCGCGCAGGGGCGGACTCCGCATCCACGGAAGGTCACCCGGAGCAACGTGGCCGGTGCAGGTGGGCGCTTGTGTCCGGGGGGCCGGGGAAGGGCCGGCGGTCCGCGGTCAGCTCCCCGTGGCGCACCGCTGCGGCTGCGCGCCCTTGTCGTCGCCGCTTCCCGTGCCTCCGAGGTATTTTCTTCCTTCCAGCTCCGCAGCTGGCGGAGGCTCGGCTTCCTTCAGACAGTGAAAGATGCTGCTTTTGTGTGCAGGGTGGATGGGTGGCTGGGTGGGTGGCTGGGTGGGTGGGGGCAGGGCCGACCGAAAAGCACAGCCCCCTCGCCAGAATCCGGGGCTCTCCATTGGCTGAGCGAAGAGCATCTCCGACAGCCTCCCCAGAGGCAGGAGCGGAAATGAGTTCCTGATGGCGCATCAGAGATTTAAAAAAAAAAAAAACAAGACATAAATAAATAAATAAACAGCGGCGATGGCCTCATTCCTTAGATGGGGGCGGGAATAGCATCCTCAGGGCCCCGTTTCTTGGGTCCCTCAGCGGGCCGCTCGCTCTCCGTGGAGGCGTGTGTCAGAGGCCGGGCTGCATGCTGGGGAAGCACGATCTTCTCGGGCACGTTTGCTGGGGGCCCGCCAAGGGAAAGGCGCCCCCTGAAGTTGTGCAGGGTATGCCCCTCCCCGCCCTCCACCGGAGGATCTCAGGAAGACAGTGGAAGGATAGAGAGGTGAGAGCATAGCCTCTGAAATCAGACCAGAAGTGGGTTTGAATCCTGGCCTGCCAGTTCACCGGGATCTTACCTGCTGGGCCTCAGTTTCCTTATCTGTGAAATGGAAACCTTATGGTCCTGGCGTTTCAGCATTGAAGGAGAGGATGCAGGGAGAGCCCTCGGGACCGTGCTGGTGCATGAGAAAGACTATCCGTGTTTCTTGCTGAGGCTGTTTTTATTTTTTAGATCTGTAGCAGGTTGAATGCCCCCCCCCCCCCCCCCGCAAAGATATGTCCGTGTCCTAACCCTGGAATGTGTGAATGTGACCTTATTTGGAACGAGGGTCTTTGCAGATGGAATTGTTAAGAATCTCAAGAAGAGATCATCCTGGATTTAGGATGAGTCCTAAATCCAATGACAAGTGTCTTTATAAGAGGAGAGGAGAGATGAAGCCATCTGAGAGGGGACAGCCAAATGACGATGCGGGCAGAAGTCGGGGTGATGCATCTACAAGCCAGAGGACATCAAGGATTGCCAGCGGTCGCCAGAAGTTAGGAGAGGGGCCTGGAATGGATTCTCCCTCACAGCCTCCAGAAGGAGCCAACCCTGCCGGTACCTTGATTTCAGACTTCTGGCTCCCACCAAACTCTGAGAGAATAAATTTCTGTTGTCTTGAGCCACCTAGTCTGTGATACTTTGTTATGGCAGCCACAGGACACTAACACATGACCCCCAAGTAGAAACTGATGTCTGATGTTCTCTTCTGCCTCTCTTATTCACTGCGATGGTTTTTAACCTGTTCTGTGAACACATCAACTTCATTCCACCACAGGGCCTTTGCACATGCTGTTCCTTCTGCCAGGAAGTGCTCTGCCCCTAGGTAGTCACATTATTCAGGTATCAGCTCAGAAGTCTTCTCCTCAGAGGGGCCTTCCCTGATCACATCCTACCTTGCCTCGCATTCCATCACCCTCCATCCCATGGCCCAGTCAGATTTCTTTTTAGTATAATTTTCTAAAAATTGTGGTAAAGGACACACAATATAAAACTTACCATTTTAGCCATTTGAAAGTGTACAGTTCAGTGGGATGAAGTACATTCACGATGTTGTCCAAACTATCCCACTATCTAGTTCCAGAACTTTCTCATCACCCTAAATGGAAATCCCATATCCATTAAGTAGTCCCGCATTCTTCCCTCCCCAGCCCCTGGCTCCCACGAGCCCGTTCACTGTCTGTGGATCTGCCTGTTCTGGCTGTTTCTCGTCAATGGGGTCACACACCGTGTGTCCTTCTGTGTCTGCTTCCCTCCCTGAGCATCATGTGTTCAGGTCCGTCCATGTGCGGCTGTGTCAGGGCCTCGCTCCTCTTCACGGCTGCATAATATTCTAGTGTGTGAATGGACCACATTGTGTTTATCCACTCACCAGTGGATGGACATTTGGGCTGTTTCTACTTTCTGGCTATTGTGAGTAGTGATGCTATGGACATGGGTGTGCACAGACTTATTTGAGCCCCTGTTTTCAATTCTCTTGGGTAGGTACCTGGGAGTGGAATTGCTGGGTTATACAATAATTCTATGTTTCACTTATTGAGGAAACTGATGTGGGTTTTTTTTCACAGCGTTTACCACTATTTGAAATTATTTTCTTGTTCCCTTGTTTATTCTCAGACTCCGTTATTAGAAGCAAGAGAAAAGAGACTTAGTTGATTTTGTTTACCGCAATGTTCTCCACAGACGCGACAGCACCTGGCACAAAGGAGATGCTTGGGAAACGCAGGTAGAATGCGTGAATGCTGGCTCCCTTCGTGGATGCCAGACGACACTCTACCCACGTGGCTGCCTCACTCACTGCATCAGGGTTGGTTCCCCTCCAAGGGGCATAAAGGCATTAAGGCAACCGCCCCACAGCAGGGGGAGGAGAGCCCGGAACTCCAGCACAAGATCTGGACTTTGCACCTCCTGCCTGGAGGAAGTGGAGCTCTGGGAAGAGACACTGGCGTTAACTGAACGGAAAATCCAAGCGAGTGTGGGTGCTGGGCACTGGGGGCCCAAAGGTGCAGAAGGCTTTGCTCTCATAGAGCTCAGTCTGAGAAACAGATGGGCAAAGAGTCTGGGCTGATTTAGAGACATCTTTGGAGTGGAGTGGCTTGGGGGGCACATGGGAAGATTTCCTGGGTGGGGACAGGGGTGGTGACGATGCGAGTTGGGCCCTGAGGCGTGAGTAGGAGTTGGATGGATGAAGAAGCTGGAGAAAGGTGTTCGAGACAGAGGGGCGGCCTGGCCCGAGGGGAGCGCACGGGAGCTGTCCGTGGTGCTGCAGCCCCCGTCCCGGCCTCTCCGCCATGAGCGCGCGCGGGGAGCTGTCCGTGGTGCTGCAGGCCCCGTCCCGGCCTCTCCGCCGTGAGCGCGCGCGGGGGAGCTGTCCGTGGTGCTGCAGCCCCCGTCCCGGCCTCTCCGCCGTGAGCGCGCGCGGGGGGAGCTGTCCGTGGTGCTGCAGCCACCGTCCCGGCCTCTCCGCCATGAGCGCGCGCGGGGAGCTGTCCGTGGTGCTGCAGCCAGCGTCCCGGCCTCTCCGCCATGAGCGCGCGCGTGGAGCTGTCCGTGGTGCTGCAGCCCCCGTCCCGGCCTCTCTGCCATGAGCGCGCTCGCTGGAGCTGTCCGTGGTGCTGCAGCCACCGCCAGAGAGCGGCTGGGGGACCCAAGCTTGGCGCTTGCCTGGTTTATTTTTAATTGTGGTTAAACGATCCATGACGTAAAATTTGCCACTCTAATCATTTTTAAGTGTAAAGTTCAGTGGCATGAATTGCATTCACAATGTACAGCCATCACCACCATCCGTCTCTAGAACTTTCTCATCTTCCCAAACTGAAACTCTGTCCCCATTAAACACTAACTCCACTTTCCCATTCCCGCATAATGTAATGAGATCAGAGATGTTGCATTTTGTTATTGCTGTTGCTCTAATCCCTGGACCAGCGGTTGTCACTTGGGAAGGACTCTGCTCCCCAGTGGACATTTGGTGATGTCTGCAGATATTGGTTATGACAATTTAGAGGATGAGAGTGATACTGGCATTGAGTGGGTCAAGACCAGAGATGCTTCTCAACACCCTACAATGCACAGGACAGCCTCCCACAGTAGAGAATTATCTGTCCCCAAGAACCAATGGTGCAGGTGTTGAGAAAACCTGCCTTAGAAAAATGCCTGGAATATAGTCAGTTCTCAGTGAAATTTGTTGAGGCAATGAAATTGCTAAACCTGCTCGAATCTCATTTTCCTGATTTGCAAAGGGGATTGATACAAGTACATTCGATCCTCGTTATGTGTGGTTTCTCTGTTTGTAAATTTGTCTACTGGCTGGAATTTATTCGTAACACTTGTAACCCCAAAATCAACATTCACAGTGCTTTCAGGGTCATTTGCAGCCAACACAGATCGGCGAAAAATTTGAGCGCTGGATGTGCATATTCCCAGCTGAGGTTGAACAAGGCGCTGCTCTGCTCTCTTATTCCAGTCCAGGCTGTAAACGAGCACCCTTTCCAGGGTCAATTTAGTGAAGTGTTTTTGCATTTTTGTGCTTTATGTGGGTGATTTTGTTGTTTATAATGGTCCTCATGCCTGGTGCTGGAGTGCTGTTTCTAAGCACAAGAAGGCTCTGATCCACCTTACAGAGAAAATACGTGCATTAGAGTTCATTCAGGCTGAATTATAGTGCTGTTGGTTGTGAGTTCAGTGTTAATGAATAGATAGTGTATATCCAATAAGGTATCTTTAAACAGATACACACACAACACAAGGTTATGTGCTGATCCATTGGTGAAAATGTGATCAGAGGCTCACAGGAAGCTAGTCCTGTATTCCCACTAGAAGCAGTGGTCGAGTATTCGCTATTCCAGTGTTGGTGGTGACGTTACGGAACAGAACTGCTGCCCATAACGAGAATCAATTGTACTGCTCCCCAGGACTGTTGCGAGGACTAGATAAGAGCGTGCATGTAAAGCATTTAGCACAACGCTTGTAGTAAATAACAGGAAAGAAGATATTACGTAATCCAGAGAAAACACTAAGACAGATCTGCTTCTGCATAAAGCATTCAGCCTTTCTTATCTAGTGAGAGCTGAGGGAATTGGAGGGGGACCATGTGTAATTGCCACGCTGGACTCTAGCCAGGGCATGGCGGGAGAGCGGCCACTAGATTGTTCCTCGTGGCGACACATGGTCATAAAGACACGAAAGGAAGGATGCCATCTGCTAAATCACACATACGGCTTTCTTTGGCACCCTGGGCTTGCCCCGGTTTCTATCCAAGAATTAATTAGCCCTGTGCCTACTTAAATAAGGGGCAAAAGAACACCACCCCACCACGGCCCGTAAACGTACTTTTTTTTTTTTTTTTGCCTTTTTTAAAATTTAAAATAATTGTAGATTCACATGAGGTCGTAAGAAATAACACAGAGAGGCCCCACGTACCTTTCCCCATATTACGCAGTGGTAACATCTTACTAAATTATAGCACAATATCATCATTCCTTTTGATACCTCAAGATACAGAACACTTCCATCACCACAGGCTCCCTCATGGTGCCATTTTC